CAAGAGATACAATAACATTGACAGGCATCTGTTACTACAAGAGAAGAACAACTAAAAAGTTTGATTTCTGCATTTTCAGCCGCCACAACATACCACTCTCCTCATTAGGCTTAAAGCTAAAGAGACAAATATCACCCATCCTGTTTATTCATATAGTCTGTCATTCATCTCGTGATCTATTTTTATAGTATGCCACCACTGCAGTTTACTTTACTGAGCTGGCAACATTCAGTCCTGGCCAGATGCACCAGAACTGCAACAATAGAGAAATTAGATTTAAAGGTGCTGTATGTAGGATTGACACCGAGTGATTTAACTAGATATTGCAGTCCAAATTCAAAATATTGGAGAAGGTTTTTTTCACCCGGCCCCTCCTCCTCAGACTTGACACACATGCAGGTTGCCAGATTGACGACACCAACAGGAACTAGTGCACTTGACGATTAATAAAATGAAATGCACTGTTTTCCTCCAACTGGCAACCTGGGGTCCCAAAATACAGTTGGGTAAACTGGCAGTGGGTGGGTTTCACAAACCAAAACAGAGACCGAAATTCCAGCCCGGAGCGCACATTTTCAAAGTAGAATAACTGACTGTAGCATTGTTTTTCAGATAAACAAGTATGTTAACTTAGCATGTTTCTTAAATATCTGCAAACATATTATGGCATTTTTATGCTTTAGTAGAGTCAAAAACTTACAGCACCTTTAAAAAAAATAAAATAAATAAAAGGGGTTGGCGCTTGCTAAACCTCACAGTGGTTTCTGAGGAGAAAATGGAAGACAAAAAAAACAAAAAACAATTTCCACTTTGTCTGAAATAGTCTTATTTATACTTTCCAGGGCCATTACTTGTGTTTTTAGCTGAATTTTTGCATTTAATGCTAAATAAGCATTAAATAACTTATTAGCATTATGGTAATAGATTGTAGACGGGCTATACGAACTGCTAACGTGGGGCTTTTAAAAACACTCTCAGCATGTGAAAAGAGGTGTCGGGTTGTTCTCTCAGTGTCGCCGAGACAACATCTGTTAAGAGCAACAACGGAAGCGTTCATCTCCCTTATGAGTCTTTTTAGATTCATTACCTTCCATGTGCAAATCCTGTTGTTGATATTAGACACCCTCCTGCTTCATTGGCTTTTCTGCTTATGAATATTCATGAAACTCAATATTAACTTTTCCTACTGGGTTGAGAGCCTATTCTGGAATTAAATTAAAGGTCTTAATGGTCAAAGACCAATTTGAGAAGTAGTAGTGCTCAGACTTTTACCACACTGTGCTATAATGGAGATTACCTACTGCAAAATATAATTTGAACTAATTTCTATTTTCTTAAAAGAAGCAAAAAGTGAGGTTACAGTGTGGAGCTTACAATGGAAGAGAATGGGATACAATTTTGGTAAAAAGCTTATAATTTAAAGTACTTACAGCAACTTTGATTAAAACATGCATTATACAGTATGAGCTGTAAAACTGTTTAAATAATTTTTACAGTTTTAGTGTTTTTCATTGCGTTGTAATGGCAATAAAGTTACTTGTAACAAAACAAGCATGCAATGTTTTCAGAATACACTCAAATTGTTTACATCTTTTGTCTATACTATTGAATCAGTTAAGTTAATTGGCTTATTGTAACCAAGATTTTTGACATTTGTGTTAATCAACAGTGTAGCATTAGTTCTGGCATGCCACGTTGGTGTCAAAATTACATCAGCTGACTCTCAGCTGATCCATGCCTACCTATAATACAATGTCTATCATGGCATTCCTATGTAAATTCAGTATTATTCATCAGTTTTATCGCTTTTTTTTAGAGCAAATTACCCTCCTCCATCCCCAGCTCCTCCTTTCATGACAGTCAGGACTTGGCTTTCTGATTTTCCTCATCTTCCCAAATCAGACTATTATCTTGAACAATGTTGTTATACTAAAATGTCATTATGAACATTAATGATATCTACTGTACTACATTTGGTTCTGTTCTGCTGCTCTCCCTGCTCATTCATGACAGGCTGCATGGATGGGCAGGGAGTTTTTGCCCAAAACAGAACATACCGCCAATCCAAGCTGCAAGCTAAGTGTCAATCATCTTTGACAATAGTGGTCCTGACAGAAATGCTGTTGATTGAGCTTAACTTGTACTGAGCTTAGAATATTCCTGCATCTTCCATCAAGCATCCAATTACATAATACCTTTCTCTCTTCTTTAGGCATACTAAACAATACAGCATTTAGCAAAATCTGCATAAATAGAATTCAATTACATTTAGTGATCGCACATGCACAAGTACACATGGGATGTTCAGTAGATAGTCGAAAATTAAATCTGTTGAGAAAAAATTACTGCAGCCAGGCATTAAGTCTAGCACCACTTTCTATTCTCACTAGACACAATGCAATGTTCCCTTTCAAAAAGTGAAAAGGAATCCCAAAGACTCTAAAGAGATTTCAGGATTAACATACAATTTAGAGCTAAAGCCTTTAGCATTTCAAAATGTTTCATCAACTGCAGGCCAAAGAGGCATCCCTGTGTGCACATTATTAAATTGAATCGTAATGACAAAGTTGAGACAATATAAAGAAAGTTAGAATCGGGGGAATGGGCCTGCTTTTGCGCATGCTAAGAGCTCAATGTGCACACCCCGTCATGTTCGTATTAAAAAAAAAAAAAACTCTGGAAAGCTTTTGACTTTGAAAGCTTTTGTGTGAGAAGTATAGAACTTGCCTGCATTCTATGAGAGCTGGGCATGAGAAATAGTGTAGAGTGGCTGGTGGTCTGAATACATTACCTCCAATTTTCATACTATTACACAAAAAGCTATTCTTCAACCCAAAAAGATGTGATTTCACCCTCAGTAGTAAGATATTTTGTGTTCAGCTGCACAGTGGAACTGTGGATATGCCAGCCACTTCATTTAAGATTCCAATTACAGGGCATTCTGCTATGCGCTTGTGCATGCTGTCTTAGTTTTTCTCTTTTCCAAATTTTGACAGCCAATTTCAGCTGGCTTCTTATTCTTTCCAGCTGTATTTCATGTGCTGTAGTCTGCACTTTGAATTTACAAAGCAGGCAACATTTGCCATGTCATAAATTAAGCTGAAAGCAGTTTGTCTTGAATGTACTGAATGTATTCACCACAAAGGCTTAATGCACTTCAAAAGGTAAAATAATTATTAAATAGATGAGCTTCATCAAAAGAAATGAATCAGCTTCATCAAATGCCTTTCAGGCAGCCGCAGGAGGAATCTTCCAAAACCTCCATTAAGGTAATATACCTAAGTCAGAATTTAATCCACTTAAACATGGAGTAATTAGACTGAATAATTAAAATGATTAATAAATAATTGAAACAGCCCTTCAAAAAATAATTTCCAGACAGAATCTTAAGTAGAGTGCGGAACAAGGTGCCCAAGCATTTCCACACTGCTTTTCTTAATTGGGTATTTTGTGCATTTTGTTAGGATTATGAGAATCCCTTTTTGTTTGGATTATGAAGATTTTTAATGTGTCCAAAATGTACGTACACTGAAAAAAATTAATTGGTGCAGCATTTACAATTTTACTAAAAAAATTCTAGTAGATTCAGAAACTGCTGGTAAAGTTTACATATAATTTAAACGTGGCAAGTAACACAATGAATTAAATGTGAAATTTGGAAGTCAAAAGACTGATGTTTTCTCGTAAAACATACTTCAATAATCTTTGTTGAAATTACAATTTCGAAAAATCCTTTTCTTACAGTGTACAAAGCATAAAAAGTCACTGTGAATTCTTGTTTGCAAACTATTTTACTTAAATTATTTGAAAAATAGGGGGTGGGGCTTGATTTTTCTCCATCTAAACTTATTGGATGAACAATGTAAGTTTGTTAAAACATTGACTAATTATCTATTAGGCTGTTGGACATCATTATCCAACAGTGGCCTAATGTTGTTTTAGAGGAAGAGAGACTTGATTCAAAATTATGAAGAACATTTTTAATAACAAGCAGAGATTAACGCTCACAATAATATCAAAAACATGCATTAGATCAGTTTTATTTCATGTTGACTTTAAAAGGCAAAGAAGACAAAAACAGAGAGCATGACTGAACAGTTGTAGAAAAGTGAGATCCTGTCTTTTATCACAATGCCAGCTCAGCTTTGACCTTCTGCAGTAATACAGTCTGCTTCTCTATTAAAGTCTGATTATATTACCTGTAGCCAAAGGAGCTGCTAACACCTTTTTACCTTTGAGCTGACCTTAGATAAAAAATTTATGGTGGGATTTCACCTCACATGGAGTCTGAGGAGTGAGATGTATTTTTCACATCTCAGCGCTCTCAGTAGGTTCTTGGCATCATCTGGCTAACTCTTGTACCATCTTAATTACAGATGACTGCTGGGCAATAGCCAACATGTGATTTACACCTTAAACCACAGACGGTTTGCTGGCATGATAATTAATGTGGCTATATATGGCCCGCTTGAGTACCCAATATTGCTCCACAAAAATAAACATGCATTCAATACAAATACTGTCACCATGCACCATTTTTTTTTGTTCAAGGGCACCAGTGGCAGTCACTTGGCACCCTAGGCGAGAAAAACATTATTTCATTAAATAAGTAATATTATAATATTTTTATATAAGGAACAGTCTAATGGTCCATTTTTTGTTTAGAATGAATTACAATCTCTAGTTCAAAATACGCACAAAATCGCAGTACTTCCTCATTCTTGCATAAATCCAGACATATAAAAGCCAGTGTAAAAAAGAGAAACCCCATATGTGTTCATTATGCCTCATACATTCTGAGTTCATCAATTCATCAAATACCTAATGTTATCAATTTAAAAAATCCTCTAAAGAAAGTACTTTAAATACCACAACACTAGCATGGAATATGTCCTACACACTACTGTAACAAGTCCGGATAAGACCCTGATTGAACCTTTTTGTTAATTAATATTTGTGTGTGTAAAAGGAAATGAGAGAGAAGAATGGTTTGTACATACCTTTGATCCGTAAGCTCTCTGAGATCCCATCCTGCTGGAACAAAAACAGAGAAAAAAACAATACTTACAATACATTCACAGTAAAGTATGTCAATAGGGTCCAGGCCACAGACGTCCACATACTGGATATTGGATGGCTCACACACCCCAAATACATCTGATTGCTGTTTTACTTCTAGAGAAAATCACATTGTAATTTTAAACAACTACTGCTCCTTTCTTTCTTTAAAAGTATGATATACATAATTCCTATGCCATTTTGCCATAGCAACGTCTAAATATTCTTTCAAAATGTTGAAATATTTGTCAGTATGAGTTAAATGATTCATTCATTCAGACCAGGCAGAGTACGGCAGTCTCTCAACGAGTCTATTTCTAAAAGTTAAAGGATGCCGTATTCCACCATTAAAGAGACGAACGGGAAATGTTAATGTTAGCTGTCATTTAGCTTCTAAGGATGAAATACAACAGTGTCATAGGATGAAAAATAAAACAAAAAGAATAACAAATTTCTAAGCCAGAAGCTCAAAAGTAATAGCCGACCCAAAAATGAAAACTTGGTCAGTGTTTACTCATGACATTTTTGAACACGAGATGAGAATTTCCAGGTTGCTCTTTTCCATACAATTAAAGTTGATGTGTACATAAAGTGTTATACGCTGCCACTAAGTGATGCCACTCTTTGTTTTCCAAAGACTTTCAAGCCATTTGTCCAATCTGTCTAAAATGAAAACAAACTTGCTGCAAGCCCCTCCCCTTCCTATGCCAGCCTCAGAGACAGTTTCACCACAGCCCCTTTACAATGTATTACTTTTAGCTTGTGTCACACTGTATTGGAATGGTGCCTGTGTCACCAACATTTATCTCCACATTTTTCTCCTTTTCTTACCAGACCTTGCAGGTCTTATTAAAAAACCTAAGTATACAGAGGTTATTTTTTCATTCAGCATACCAAGGAAGGAGTATAATTGCCCTGCACTGTTATTCATTCAAGTTATCTTAAACTCACATTCCTGTAAAAGCTGAGAGAGCATTCAATTCAGAGTAACAGCTCATTCATTCCGTTCTGAAGACTTTTGAGGCTCGGTGAATAGATTATCTTCCTGGAATCAATTGTACATCAATTACACAACTGAACTACAGAAATGAAATTATGGCTATAACAAGATCCTTCAAGACCCCGCCCCCTTGCTTTATCTTACAAGTGCGCCATCTGTCACTCAAGCATCTAGTTTTTTGACTGGTCTAAATGTGGGGCGGAGCAAAATTTGGGCCATAATCTGAGTGGAGGTAGAGGAAGGGTGGGGCTATGGTGAATTAAACCTTTGGCTTTGACAGGATATTGGCTTTTGCAGAGCAGGACAAAGCTTCATACTATAAGCTGAATTACTCATGATGATTGAAGCAGGCCGAGTTGAGGGAAAGCTAATGGGGTCACTGCTTATCTCTGTGCCCGTGCCAGAAAAACAGGCTCAAGCCCAACACACAGTCCCAACACACAGAAAAACAGTCCTCACCCAACACACCTCCCTCATTTGAAATGCAGGCTTGCTACATCTGTTGCCAGTCATCTTTATGAATTCACATTGCTGGAAAACTCTGGAATGACCACATGCATTGACTCAATATGACCCTTGATATAAGATTCATATATAATATGACCACTAAGCATAATCATAATTATAAGAAATATAATTGCTTCTGGCCTGTGCCATCAAATGCATTCTTATCTGAGACTGGAGGTTGTTTGTGCTTTGCACTTAATGGATTTTTCACCCATTGTGGTCTGATAAGGAAGTTATTGCAGGCAATTCGGTAACTACATGTTCCCACAGTGTGAATTTCAACTATTTAGGCCTTCTGATGTATGTGACAGCATTAGCATTTAATACAGAGGGAAAAGAGCGAAGGGCATCTTCATTCACAATTTCCAGCTTTATTAAATTAATGTCTACATGAGAGGGTTGTGAGCATTAGCAAACAACTAATACTTGAGCGAAGTGGGATGTTCAAGGTTACCTTCAGAGAATTAATGACAGAGTCATAAGGTTTACTGTGCACTTCAACCACATTTGTAACCACAACGGTAGTAGTGATTTGCTACTTGTATTACTGGGTCACATTAAGACTGAGCTCCACTATTTTTAGAGTTGCCTATGTTTAATGTTTAAAAATAAAAATAAAATATTATAATAATAAAAATATTATAATATTACAAATAGGAACTATTTCTAAACCTATTTTTTTTTTCATATGCCAAAACAGATTACATTAATAATAATAATAATAATAATAATAATAATTGACTCATCTTTTCCCATTGCTAATGTGAAAAGTTTGCCAATCATTTCTTAAAGACACAGTAAATAAACCAGACCTAAATGGCACTGCACATAAGACTTTAAAATTGAACTTGCCGACATGATGCTATTAACACTCTAGTATCAGTCACACACAAGAAATAAAAAAATCACACGAACCCCATCATTTATAAAACACTGCGTATCTGCCTATGCCATCTGTCAAATTCTAATTATCTAATAATTAACACCAAACCGCATGCATAAGCGGAATATTTTGATAGCATGACAATACTAACTGTCTGAAATGATAACAGTTCAGACATTTCAAAAAGCCAACGTGTGCTTTTCCTCTCAGGCTGTTTTCACATTTGGTTGAATTGCTTGGTTCTTTACACATTGTTTCTGTGGGTCTGGACGATGGCATAATTGCATCACCTCCAACAGTAATTCCCTAATGGCAGCCGTTTACTGTAGCTAGGTAACAACGCATGAGGAGAATATGCCAGTTTCAACATTTTATTGAAGTGCTTGTCCTTTTGGATATACCAGCAAAAAAACGAAACAATACAAAACAAAACAGCACTGTTTGTGAGCTGCAGATGTATTGCAAGAGATGCAAAGAATGCAAGATGCTCTCCAAAGACAATTTCATTGAAGGCAAGCAGTTATGAGAAATGCATTATAGTGCAAGGCAAAATTGTAAATATGACGTCATCAGTACTGACTCATTTACTCAAGTTAGATGACCTTTTCAAGCATATTCTATCATGTTAAATGTAAAACAGACTTGCACCAAAGGTTTAGTATGAAAACACTGCAAGAGTGTGTTTTTTTAACACATTTTTTCAAAACCTGATCTCGTGAGGGAAAACGTACCTGTGGGAACTTTTTCGCAAGACGCAAAATATATACCACTGTGACATATTCGATGTGAAATGTCCACTGGATGGCACTAAAAGTGTGGTCGTTTTTTTCCCCCGGAACAGATGAACGTACATATGGTATGTTTTATGTGACGTTGGTTTTGTACGTGTCACCACAGTTCTGATTTGAAATGTCTGTTGAGTGGCGCTATAACTAATGCTTCGGGACGTTTTAAAATAAAGCGCCATCTGCACTACACCTAAACCTACATAATAGTATTAACAAAAGTGAATGTGATGTAAAAACACAATCGCAAGCATGACGTTTTAGCTTGTTTTTGAGTAATGTTTGAGTAATGCATAACGTGTGAGTAATGTTTTTGACGATATTCGTACTCAAGGATTCCGCATCCTAAGTCCATTTCCGTGCCGGCTGTGCTACCGTGCAAGCTTGTCATCCGGAAAGCGAAACATATGGAGCTGTAATCATAACTGTGTACGAAAACAATTACAAGTGCTCGATGTTGTACCCCCTCTAGTGTTCATTTTTGTTGGAAACTGCAGTGATATGTACTTATTGGTACGTATTTCACGTCTTGTAAAAAAGTTCCCACAGGTACGTTTTCGTCATGAGATCAGGTAGAAAAAATAGACGTGTCTTAAAGGGATGATTTTTGTGACCCCTGCTCAGCTGTTTATTCGGATATAAAAGGAAAGTGTTCCCATGGGTTCCTGTTTTGTCAGTCAGTGCCCTCCCTCCCTCCCAGAGTTTAATTGACCTGTTACATAATATGAACGTTTGCTCTTGGAGATGATGAAGGAAAAAGAGGAGAGAGAAGCAGTGGAGCTTGTTAGAGCTGCATTACGCCTCAATTGCTGTTATCTGACTGTGTGTGTCCACAAAGCTCACTGCAACGGCCAGTCAATAAACATTCAATTACACAACCACGCTGAGCTGTTTCATCATGATGTCAGCGCAGCAGGAGTTTTCGCCTGCAGTTCGAAATGTCCAAAGTGAAAGATCCAACACTTTTCAATATAAATATTATTACGCATCTCTGATATTCGGCGCAGGAGTGGAGGAAGAGTAATGAATTGTTCTGTGACAATAATCAAACCAGAAGTGCTCAATGCGATGCGGATTTCCAAAGTAATTAGCATCGTAACCGGCCACACAGAAGTCTCCTCTTGTAAAGCGATGGCTAATGAAATCGGAAAGATCGATACCTTGTGACGGAATCTGACGAGAGGTCGATACGCCATCGGGGTAAATCCTTCTTTGCTGGGACGTGCCTCTGCAATCAGAGCTGCCCCCCAGAGCAGGACAGCTGCCCACCATCTTTTGGAGCCTCTCATTACCCACCTGTAATAAAATAAAAGACGTGAATACACAAATAAACAACACCCCATGTAGGTTAAGTCAAGTGGAGCATTTAAAGCCTTTTGAAACAAACAATGCATCACAGCTCAGCTAATTAGAGCAGACAAAGGAGGATGCCGATCTACTGTGGGTTTAAACTAATGCTTTCAATAAGAAGCCCACACTCATGGCAAGATTAAATCTACTTTGAATCAATTAAGGAATAATGAGCACCATGAGGAAATAAAGATAAAGCTAAGAAAAAGGATCAATATATTACCGTGCTGACGGTGAACGCATCAGATTGCAGTTCTTTTTAAGTCAGGCATTCATATCAAGGTAACATTTAGATTCAGTACTGATATGAGACTTTTTCCTCCCCTTTATAAGTGGTTTTCAAACTGGGGTTTGGAGAGCAATAGTGTGTCCGTGGAGAAAAAGAGTGTTTAAAAAAACAAACAAACAATCCTACAAATAAGTTAATAATATATACGATTAAACTAACAAACTAATTAAATAAATAAATAAACTGGTAAAGTTAATAAATAATAATAATCATAAAAAATCAATAAGTCAATAAATTACAAACTTGATTTAAAAAACAATTACAAATAAAAAATGGATTAATATAAATAAATAAAAATATATCAAAATAAACAAAAATAAATTAATACAATTTTAACTAAATTAAATTGATCAATAAAATTGAATAAAAAAAATAAAAAAAATAGATTTAAAGAAATAAACAATTTAATTATTACTAAAATTTTAAAATATTAACAAAATTCATAAATACAATTGATTAAAGCAAACACATGATAAAAAACTTATTAAAATATATAAATTAAAATCTAATAAAATATTTTATTACAATAATATTACAGTATTATAGTGATTAGAAAAAAAATCTAATAATTTAAGATAAAATTTAGTATGACAAATCCATCTCAAAATAATGACTTTTGCAATATTGACAGTTACTAAACCAAAAGTGACTGATATTTAACTGCTAACATCTTGTTAGAGATGCTATTAAGCAGAATTTGGATTTGCCTCATATTTTATGAAGTTTGCATAATTGATTCCGTTATATTAGGATTATTGCTGTCAAGCTGCTTTGAAACAATATGTATTTTATAAAGCGCTATATACATAAAGGTGACTTGAAAGGTGATTTGGATTCACAAAACACAAAAGTGCCACTTCTTTGGAGCATGGAGTCCCATGAGTGGTTCTGTCAGAGAAAGCAATGAAGCGACAAACACAATTTATAAACATAAAATATATACATGTACGCTGAGGGCCCCTTCATCACAGGCCCCAGGATAACTGCTGTGTTAGAGTGGATGTCCTGCAGGAGTTCAGGACTTTGGAATGGAAACAATATAGAATGACATGGCATTGGATTTCAGAACAAAGCAAGAAGAGATTCCTTTCATTGAGCTGGTAAAAGACCATCCATATTTCACATTATCGGTTTGAAGTCAGGCGCATGACTGGCCCAAGAAATGAGCAAGCACTCTTGATGCAAACCTGTGCTGCCCATCTGTGCTTTTATTTCAATCTTTGCCTGCATGACTGTCATATTTCATGCTGTCTGTACGCCAAAAAGAGAGAGAGTGCATGAAGAAGGAAGATTGAAAGCTGTGCAACCACCTATAGAGACAGTCATCATAACTTTATCAGGTGGCCATAAATCGTCTACACCACATCTACGCCAAGTGTCTTAGCATTGACTTTCAAATGAGGGATGTCTATCACTCACAATGTTCACAATAGATCATCATGTGACAGTCTCCCAGCAGGCAGAGCGATACGAGTGTCTTCTATTACATCCAAACTGTAGTGTACTTGCCCACAGTCATAGCAGTAGTGATTGTTTACTGATCAGTGCTGCCATGTATTCAGAGCATGATCTTCTGAACCATTCTCTATTTCCGTCTCTCGGTACACCCCCATGCTCTGGCAGACTAGAGTAATAATGCTGTGTTGGCAACACTGGCATCGCAGACATTTGTAGTCTTTGCAGTTACGATTTATGCCGCCTTCTACAATAAAGTGTACTAAATTATTGGTTAAAAAATAAAATAATAAAACTAGAATAATAATTTGTAGTGTTTGTAGACTTCAAAAATGGCACTGTTTAATGAAAATTAAATAAAATTAATTAAATGAAAAATAAAATAAAATAAATCAAAGCTAGAGAAATAATGATGTGTTGGCAATGGTGGCATTGCATACATGTGTAGTCTTTGTAGTTAGAATTTATGGAAATGAAAGAGTCAACCAATTGCATTTTTACAAAACTAAAGGTGTAAAATAAAATAAAATAAAATAAACGAGTTATAATACTGTTGACAACACTGGCATTGCAGACATTTCTAGTCTTTGTAGTTACAATTTATGCTGCCCTCTGCAATAAACTGTACTTAATTCTTGGTCATCCAAAACATATTGACTATACCAGATTATCAAGCTCGCCAAAGTTTCCAAAGTGGCTCAACAACTACAAAATGTACTTACTTACTTAATTTATTTATTTTACAGAAAGCAATAGTGAAAACAAAATAAAATAACATTTCTTGGCCAGAAAATCCCACACAGATTTCAATCACATTTCCATCAGGGGAATGTGGAAAGACACAAACATCAACTCTTGTAACATAAAAAATCCTCTTCCTCTGTAAAGAAGGCATTAGACAAAATCTCCACTTCCTTAGGGGGCTAAAACATCTGGCCTACATCTTGACCAACACCATCACTGTCACCTCCAGCAGGAAGGTCCTTCTGCAGGTGGTGACCACATATGTCCTGTTGTCTATTCAACATTTATATGCGTCCAATCGCCTGACAATGAAGCACATCTACACCAAGCCGTGCACATTTAGGAAAGCGGGCAGCAGTATTTGCACCTATCTATTTGTTCCTCTCCTGTGTGGGAAAAAGCTCTGACTAATTGAACTGTGAATTGTGACTAAAACATGCAGGGTTGCAAAACATGCCTAAATATTTGGATTACACACTGTATGACACAAAAAGATAGTGTAGACACAAGTTCAAGAAATACAGAACAGACCTATTTCATTGTTCGCTTAAATCTGTGCAGCCGTCCCAAAGGTCTGGTTACTGAGTTTCATGGCTGGCAGCTACAACAATAACACAACATTCTATTACCACTTACTGTTCATACAGCTGTTTGCTTTAGGGAAGAAGAAAAAAAAAACCCTTTATGTGTTGGTATTATTTGTGCAAATATGTATTCATTCGAAATGGTCTTTTCAAAATCAAACTAAACTGACCAGCCTGGGTAGATTTTTTAACATTCATCATGAAACAAGGCATACACAAAGGGTCAGATAGAAAAACTTTGTTTGTTTACTTTCTCTGGCTGTTTTTATTCTCTATGTTATGCTCATATCTATGCTATTTTTGGACCTAATTATGATCTGTGATTTAAGAGAAAGCTGAACCTCTGTCACCTGTTTTTTTTTTTCTTTTCATTATTGAATTGGCATCCTTTTACTTGCTTTTCAGCAAATCAGTTAGCTGACGAGTATCATTCTATCTAATTAATATTCATGAGTCAGTCACCTTATTAATATTCATAATGATTCCTACACCCCTGGAAGCTGCTATATTATGTTCTCAGCAAATTGTAACAGTGAAACACTGCACTTTCTTTGTACGGGAGCACAACCTAGATCTTTCAGCAATCTTGCTCCCTCCCGTGTCTCATCCTGAGGATTTGAGATGCAACTGTTTACGCCATGTCGAGAGAAGTGACAGTGACTGTTAAAGTCTGGAAATGGTCCACTAACGAAACCCTGTGAAATCTCGCCTATATTTTGCAGTCTGTCAGACCATTGGGCTGTGGGCAGTGACAGATGTTGGCCATTTGTGTCAATGTGACTTTTCTGTCATTGTGTAAACTCTCAGAAGATCTTCTAATTATATACTGGACTGTATAAAGAGGCCTGTGTTGAAAAAAAAGACTGACAGAATTTGCCTGCAATATTGTTAAACCTCATGAGTGTCCTAAAGGTCACGTAAAATATCTCTCTCCAGCTTTGTTTCAATATCATTAAACTTCTGTCAGTGTTTAAATGTCACCTCACAAAATGAAACCCTGCAAACCCTCATCTATCACTAAGCATTTCTGGTTTATATTTTATATAACTGCTGATTCAGTTCAAGGGAAACATTCATCTGTGCAACACAAAAGAAGATATTTTGAAATTCAGAGTGGTCTAAACATATTGAACCTCATTGATGTTCCTTGTATGGTCAAAAACACATCTTCATAATATCTTCTTTTGTGTTCCACAGAAAAAGCGTAAATGATAGAAGAATTTTCATCTCTTTAAGCTTTAAAAATTGGAGCGTGGCACACTTTAAGACAAAATCCATGAAAAGTCATGCAGCATTATGAAATACTCTTTATATTTTGATTCTAAGCCCTATTTTGGGTAAGACTTTAGACTTTGAATGATTTGTATTGCTTGAAGTAAAAAATGACCAGGGATCTTTCACTTCAGCCCTCAGATTCAAATGTGTTTATGAACATCTTGTAATACTCATAAAACCACTCCAATAGAGCATTTTCATCATAGAAGTTGTAAAGCAGAGCTGAAACCTGTTGGTGCATAGGATCCTCACTCTCATGCCCAAGGACTGTTTACACATACTGCCAAAAATGCATTAATCTATACAAACTATATATATTTATAAAGCTATCAAGTCTTCAACTTCACTATTTCATCACTGTTTTACAACAGAAATCTTTCAGTGACAGTAATATATTAATTTGTGCCACAAATCAAATAAAAAATGTCAATTCAAAGCAAGAGTCTGATGAAAATGTTTAATTTGACATTTTTAATTAAATTAATTAACATTTTAAAATATATAAAAATACAAAACAGCTATTTTACATTGTAAAATGTAAAATAAATAAATAAATAAATGCAGCCTTGGTGAGCATAAGAGACATTAAAAACTCTTAA